TCTGTCCCAAAAATAAATAAACTTTGAAAAAAAAAAAAATTTTTAAAATAAATAAATGAAACAAAAGGTCACTAGAAATTACTTTTTCCCAGGAACTGAATCAGAAAATGCCATGGTTATGTATAATCTGAGGCAGTAACTTCCATATTACTAGACATCACAAAAACTTAAAAACAAATGATAAAGTCTTACTATAAGCAATGTTAGCAGAAAATGAAAAAGGGGACTTTATTATACTATTATGAACATAAACTTACCTGTACATAAAATCCTTACTTTATATCATAACTCTTACATCTGAAGAACTATAGGACATGGATAGCAGAATGACTCTAAGGTTATATAGTTGACTAAATTATCATTTAATCTTTTAATAGGCTAATGTTATAACTCTACTTGGCACAAAGATTTAGGATATTAAACCATGCTGACAAAAATTGTTGCTCCCTTTTTTTATTTAAGAAAATTCAATCTTTGGCTAAGTGGAGATGAGACATTATGCTGACTGTGTTATATTATGAATGCACTAAAATAAACAGACAGATGAAGCAGTATGCTATTTCCAAAAGCAGTGCAAGTGGAGTGAAAGCATTTCCATACGAACCTGGCTTTAAAAACTGGGCTGTCAAAAGAACAGTTAAATGTAACACAAAGTAAGAAACTGTCCAATCACTAATGGTCGTTTTTTTTTTTTGTCTTGTTTTCAATTCACTGCTTGCAATTAATGTATTTATTAAAGAAGAGTGAAAGCATAAGTAAATTCACGAGTCAAGACCAGCTGAGAGATTCAAGAGCAGCGTGTTGTGACTGACAACAGTGAAAGGAAAAGCAAATGTTAAAGGGAGAGGAAGAAAAAAGAAAACTTTAGGATTATACACATTAGCACCACTTTTACAAAACCACTCAAGATAGCTGTCACCTTCTCAAAAAAAAAAAAAAAAAAAAAAAAAAGCAAGCTGATACAAAATGGTAGTGGCATTTTTCAAACTTTAGATGAAAGCTGTCCTTTAATTAACTCTACTTTCCTAAGTATGGATAAGGAATGAAATGTCAGGGTCTGTATTAAAATTAATATGCCACTTTATGTCCTTATGATTACAACAAAGGCAACAGAAACAACAGACATACCTCCCAGAACCTCTTCCCCTCACCAACCAACCTCAGAGATTAAGTGAATGACTAATAACAGAAAATCTGGACCTTTCCTATCATTCCAGACTACCTGCTTTTGTAGGAAAAAAGGCAGCTCTGTGACTCTGCAGAAAGGGCTAGTATTCAGTATGGTCCCTTTTCCTACCAAAAAAAGAAAAAAAGTTTTATAAACACTTGTCAAAAATTCAATAGGCTTAGGGATGATGGGTAACACAAGGGAAGGCACACCAAAATACCTCACAACAAAGTACAACAAAGTAGCCTTGCCTATCCCTGAGATGATCAAAACGTTCACTGAACAGTCACTGTGAAAGAACAAGGGAGTCACTCATAAGCCTATGAAAATAATAATCTACTCTGTTTGGAGTTGTGATTTTGCAAATTATTCCCATGGATGTTATTTATAACAGTAAATTGGAGTAATTTAAAGCCCAAACAGGTAATCTAGACATTATGAGGGTAACAAGAACTAAATTTACCTCTGAAGTAAATTTACTATTTAACAATTTACTATTTCAGTCACTATACTCGTAACTAAAAAACCTTTGTTTTTTATTTTAAAATATAATTCAACCTCAAACTTTATATTTTAATTTCGTAGAACCAAAAGTAAGTAATTGAAAAAAACTTTTTAACACTGTCTGGTTTATAACTAATAAATGGGCATGACAATGACAGGCTGTTTATAAATTAAATGCACATGGAAGAACTACAGGGAAATTCTACCCATCTTACCTACCTACCTACCTATTTAAGTAAACTCTACTCCCAATGTGGGGCTTGAACTCACGATCCCAAGATCAAGATTCTCACGCTCTACCAACAGAGCATGAACAAGCCAGGTGCCCCAAGACAAATACTAATTTTAAATTAATTGATAAAGCAACTAAACTTTGCCCAAGGGAAACAGGCAAACAAACTAGTTTTCCACTTGATTCACAGAGTTCCCACAAGCTATTTGTTACTCTATGTTCTTAAGACCAAAATGGTGGCAGCGTGGCATTTTCTTTGGTTAGGCATGAAGTTCTTTAATTCTGGTCAAACCACAAAGCTGAGCTGAAAACTCGAACTTTTTTACACCTAGATTACCCTCAATTGGCCTTTTTTTTTTCCTATTTCTAAACTTAAATATATAATTAAAATGCTACATTTTTACCCTCTGTTCCCTTCTTTTACATGTGTAAGAAAGGAAAATATAACTTTTAAATGGGAAAATCTTTGAAAGCAAGAAATGTAAGTATTATAAACTATCAACATGCTAAAACACAATACCAGAAAAAACAAAAACAACAACAAAAAAAGCCTCATTATTGTTTCAGCCATTCCTCAACATTTTTACTTATTAACTATCAACTAGAAATTTTCCCAAGAAGTTTTCTCTGCTCTATAAAGCTGTATTCTGTCATAGTAACAATGATCATTTTGGCAATAGCACCACCAATCTGTAAAATGGGAGCCTGCCAAAACATAGATTAAAATTTACTTTATCGTATGAGGCTGATTCCAGTTTTTATAGCAGGAAATAGAATATTCTGTCTCCAGAGAAAACTGTATTACAATTATGTCAGTGACTGGATGAATATTAACTCCACAATGAATTTTGTTTTAGTTGACAGCCACATTCAATTTACACCATTTGCCCATTTTCAACAGTGACAAAAATGGTAGGTCTCTTGAGTGGATTGTAAGCTTTGCTGATTGTGTATTAAAGACTCTATAAGCAAAAACCAAATGCTACTAGGTGAACCCATGCAAACAACAAGTTGTAAAAATTCCCGAAACAAAAAAATCTATAGCTCACTACAGATGACACAATGAAGACTAGAGAGAAAAGCCATATAGTAATGCTACACCATTCAGCTCCAAGAAGCACATTATTTATAGTGCAGTCCACATATGGTCACTGCTAAATGTCAAATCAGCAGTCTTATAGTTACAGTTTGGAACTAGTGGAGTCCACAGATCTAAACAGATATGCAACATAAACTCAATTATACATATACTTCTAAATCCCAAGAGAAGCAAAGTAAACATCAGCAACTGGAGTTTGAAAACTTACATTAATTTTTAAAAACCTCTCAGTCAACCTAACAACTATAAAGACAGGATTTTATTCAGGTAGAACAAAGACCAACTAATGGCTGATGGGTAGTTTTACTTCCAACTGCAACAGTGACAACATATTTTACTATGATGTAGGTGTTTTGCCTTCTGTATAGCTGTAATCATGCCCCCATCTCACCTCTCATATTGTATGACAAAGGTCATAAAAAACCATATATCATAAATCAGACCAAACAGTTCTTCGAACTATGGTGGAATTCTAAAGTGAGCTTTGGCTTTAGACTTAAGGTTTGCTTTCTAAATACTTTGTCGTTAAAAAATGTAGAGGATATAATGGCTGCAACCTAAAAAAATCATGAAACACTAACTTAAAATTCACGTTCTATAAAGTTGTTTTTCTTTTTGTAATAAGGGAAAACATTAATACTTTCCATCTTCTCTGTAATTCAGATAATCAAGTTGTCTGGCAATTCTTTCATAATTTTCTTAGAACAGTTTTATTTTTGACCAAAAATTTCATTGAAAGATATTTGGTTGACTGAAATAAAGCAGGGGAAATAAAACTTTGCAACAAAGATTATGAAATACTTTACAAATGCTGGATTTTGAGGTGTTTTCAACACTTCCTGACTGAAACTGAAATGTGGATCATCTATCTCACCAACAAGTCTAGGCTTCAGAAGTTTACTAAAGCATAATGCATTATTGAATCTTTGTACTTGAGTCTTTGTATTTCATTCCCCATCTTGCCAGTTTACAACAAATTTACCCTATTACCAAAGGAAAAGACCTTAATCCTATACTCACAATAACCCTTCACACAGGCATATTTCTTGGCACAAACCTGTGCAGAGATTTCCACGGTTACCAGCTGCTGCAGATTACCTTTGTTTAAAAAAAAAAATGACTAGACCTTTAGCTCCTGCAGTGATCTGTAGACTCCCAAAGCTGCATATTTCCAGCCACTTTTGAGTTGCATGCTGTAGCAAAACAGTCAGCACCTCTCAATAGATATTGCTGCAGAGAAAGATTTTAATTCAGCAGAGACTCTTTCTATGTGTGAAAAGCAATGCCATTTCCCCCTAAGAACAAGAGAGCTCAATATAGCCAGCCAGTGATATAATATATATTTATTTGGTGGGAATTCCTTAGATGATAGGGTTCTTCCCTTTGGAGGGGAGGGGGAGATTGATACTGCACTACCAACTTTCACGCCAATTGTTTTAGTAAAAGTTTCCTTAAAACCTTTAAAAACTTTCAATTTGTTCCCAAGTGATTCATAAGAGAAATAAAATCCTTCCTGTCTTGTGTGTCCCACTTCTACCTAAAGCAATGTAGGCTATGAAGCTCCTCCTCCTATTACCTAAACTACCACAACGCAAATAATATTTATTTATGTTTCAGGAGTAAATTTTCATTAGAGATATAATTTATTAATATACATCTCTGAACATACACTTATTTATTAAAAAAATTAAATATCCAGTCTGAGCACTATGTCATTCACTATTTTAAGTGGAGAAGATAATACGATTCAATAAATAAGGCATATTATCAATTCCACTCCTACTCTTTGAGATTCCTCAACAATGATCACTCAGACGGTCTTCTGATAGCATTCTTTCTAGGACATATGCTAGAAAAAATCCTGGACAGTGTGAGAGGAAAAACAGCATTAGTCTCACATGCCGAAGGAATGAATTTTCCAAAAACCTTAAAATACAGCCCTAAAATGCTGTAAAAATGTTAAATATTATTTATTTTAGAGCTTTTTAAAAATCTTTTGAGTATAGTAATAATGAATACTAAGCTGCAAATTTAGTCTAATTAAATTCCCTACTACTGTTGAATCAGAGTACCCACAGATTTATAGCTTATTTAAGAACATTAATCATGTACCTTGTAGATATGGTACTTGGGTCTTGCTTCTGACAACTATCTGTTCTTAAACTATGACCCAAAGAGACATTTAAATAAAATGAAAAAATTAAATCATTTTTCAAGTACAAAATGCTAGCTTAGCCAGCCTACAGACTTCATTATAAAATTCTGCCTTGTGGTAATTCCCAAGATGACATAGAACAAGGCACAAACTTCAGTGATTTTTAACTTAGCAATGTGGGCTTGGCATTTTATCCTCAAGTCAAAATACAAGATTGGGCTTTCAGCTCAAGATCAGATGTGAATTCTCCCTCTGCAGCATTATCACATGCGTCATCAATTACTGCCATGCCTAAGTCTAGCATCATGCCAGCACATTAAGACAGAAGGTACTATATGCAGTGTTCACTGGACCAGAAGAACAGAAATAAGAAGGGGAGGTGGGGGAGAAAGAAACCCTAGAGAAGAAATTAAAAAAAGGCAGACCGTGCAATACAAACCAGATCATGGCTGCTTAGCTAATATGGGCCAACTGCTGTGGAAGAAAAATGTCGAACACCCCAAGTTGTGTAAATTTCTGTAAACATCTAAACACACACACAAACACACACACAACACCAACCTAATTAGGAACATAAATATATGTTGATCCTTTACTATGTTATAGTTTTGAAAATAAAAGCTAAAGTTAAAATGTCTGTGCTCTCTAAACTGTCTTATTTTCCTGAGGGAGGAGAAGAAGCTAGTGTTTCTTAAAGAAGAAGGGGGATGTCTTCACTGCTATTAAGATTAAGACTTCCTCTTCGATCATTTTCACTCAAGTTTACCAATAACTCACTGAGACCCTAATTAAATATGTATACTTAAGCACAAATATTAAATACTGACAATGCTGACAAGTTTAGACATTTTAACAATGCACTGTGTAATTTAAAAATAAAGAGCTTTTCAAAATGAAAATGATGTTCAAAAATTAAGGTTTTTTTAAAAAATTAAGAGCCAGGAAAATAAATCTCCTTGTTCTATTGCTTTATATCAATATCCAAAACTAAGTCATGTAAAGGGATAGAAAGAATCAGCTTTTCACAAAAACCAGACATCTCTTAAGCTACCAAATTTATCATATTTCATAAGTGTCTGGTAAATATATTAGTCCTTAACTATTCCTAATGGAACATTTCACACGTAATTGTGCTGCCAAGGAAAGGTGTAGCTTTTAAAGGATCAAAATACATTTTACTCCTTTATTCAATTTACAAAAACACTAAACTTTAACTTGCTATCTTTAACAGAATATCAGTATGGGCCAAAATGATATTTTCCATCAAATTCTAAGTGGTTTCTAGATCTTTCAGACTGATTTCCCAAAATATTAAATATTAGATAACATCCCAAATTCTATTTGATTACTGTAGGGCATGCAAGAAAACAGGTCTAAACTGTACTATAACTTATTAATAAGTTTAAATTCATTCACATCAAGTGTCACACGAACACTACCTAACTAACTATGACCCAAAATTAAGCACTGATCTATAGGCTTACCGATTCTATAGGCTTGTCAAGTGATGCTTGTTCAATTTCCAAATGTCCTTCTTCATACTGATCAAAGTGATTACCCTGAAAAAACAAGACTACAGTTATTTTTCAAAAGTAATAAATGCCAAAATATGAATAATCTAATCCAGCTAGGGGTTATTTTTAACTTTTCATTCTTTTTCAGTAGACAATCAAAACTGTGCCACAATTTCAGACTTTTTTAAATCTATAAAAAAACCAATTTATTAGAAGTCTAGGCCTAGTAATAGGAATTCTCCCTTTGATAAACATTGAAATTGCTAACTAAAACACTATCAACCATTTGGGATTATCAACTCCTTATCTGACTGATGATATCATGGAGACTCCAGAATCTTAAAAATGCCTGGGTGGCTCAGTGGGTTGAGTGTCACTCTTGGTTTTGGCTCAGGTCATGATCTCACTGTTCGTGAGTTGAGCCCCACGTCGGGCTCTGTACTGACACTGTGGAGCCTGCTTGGGATTCTCTGTCTCTGCCCCTCCTGTGCATGCTCTCTCTCTCAAAATAAATATATAAACAAACAAAAAAAAGCCATGTTTTTTAGCTTTTCATAAACAATCTTGCACTAAAGAAGATAAATCATAATAATAGAAGAATGCAAATAAAAATCTGTTATAATACTGTTCAATGGTGGTAACATTGCTTTTAAATTAAAACTGCTAAAACATTGGACTTTAAATCAAGTTGCTAACTCCCAAGTTTCAAAGAATCTAAAAACACAATCTCTTGACACAGTATTCTAAATACAGCTATTCCTCAAATGATCTGCCAAGAGAGATAAACATGTCTGTATAATGCCATATTTGACCATAAGCAAGCAGTCACTGCAACTAGAGTAAGTCAAAGTAGTTCAACTGAGGATAGGAGGAGACAACTAGGAAGTTCTCTCTAATCATGGTTTTCTCTGATCTCCCTACTCTATTAGCAAATAATAGCTCATAATTTGGCTTTAAAACAGAATACCAACTTTCTGGTTCCCTTTATGTTACAAAATAGAGGGTGTGATGATTTGTAAGTCCTGAATTGACCTAAATCAAAAGAGGAAAGACTTCAGTCTAGCCTATGTTAATCCAATGTGTGGAGTGGTAGGTCAACTTGAATGTTAACAAAAAGTTATTTTACTTTTTCAAGGTAAAATTTTCCTTGAATAAATCTTAACCATAGAGATCCTAAACATATAATTTGCCACACTGTATCAAAACTACTAGGTTACTTATTTCCTTCATCAGACTGTAAAGTCCTTAAGAACAAGAACTAAATATTGTTTACCTCTTACAACCCTAAAACTTAACTCGGTGGCTAAACATTAGAGAACAATTAGGTGCTAAAATTGTGTGGTAGTGATGAAAAAGTTCTGGAATTAGACAGTGGTGGTGATAATGGTTGTACAACATCGTTAATATACTTAATGCCATTGAATTGTATACTTTAAAATAATTAAAATGGTAACTTGTACGTTGTATGTATCTTAGCACAATAAAAATGATAAAAATAAAATTGTGTAGTAGAGTATATCCAAAAGAAGAAAGGAGTAACAGGACAGGAATAGGTTTTCCAAAGACAAAAAGCAAATCTTAAAAATGGAGGAGCAGGCATTCCAAGAATGAGGAAAAGCAGAGGTGCCAGGGTGGCTCAGTCAGTTAAGCATCTGACTTGGTTTTGGCTCAGGTCATGACCTCACAGTTTTGTGGGTTCAAGCCCCACATTGGGCCCTGCGCTAATAGCACAGAACCTCCTTGGGATTCTCTCTCTCCCCCACCTCTCTGCCCCTCCCACATTGGCACTGTCTCTATCTGTCAAAAAATAAATAAAACTTTTTTTAAAAATGAGGAAAAGCAATCATCAACAAATACTAAAAATGAAAAATAGGTACAATCTCTAAAAGTCTCTCTTAATCTCCAATATTTTGTCCAACAATCTCTTTAACACTTGCCTCTTATTTTAACTTCTAAAGCAACATTTAAAAGTTTAGAAACAATTACTTAATTGTTTCTACCACTACCACTATTGGTGTTAATACCAACAATAACTGGATACTATTTTGAAAGTAAATCTTTAGAGTATTAAACTTAGGACAACCATGTTTGTTTGTTTGCTTGATTTACTTATTTTTGAGAGGGCACGAAGGGGCAGAGAGAGAAAAAGAGAGGATCCCAAGCAGGCTCTACGCTGTCATTGCAGAACCCGACACGGGGCTCAAACTCACAACTCTGAAATCAAGACCTGAGCCAAGATCAAGAGTCAGACGCTCAAGTGACTAAGCCACCCAGGTGCCCCATGCTTTACAAACTGCTAAAACTAGCGCCTAAGTTGTCAAATCATTCTGGATCTATCACACACAATACAAAACAGGATTAATAATATAGTTTGAGTCCAGAAAAAGACCCATATATTTATGAATAACTGATATTCAACAAAGATGCAAAGACAATTCAATAGAGAAATAATAGCATTTTCAATAAATGGCATAGAATTCGGTATCCATATGCAAAAAAAAAAAAAAGAAAGAAAGAAAAGAGCCTCAATCCATACTGCACACAATAAAAATTTTTTAAAAATGTATCGCAGACCTAAATATAAAACCTAAAATTACAAGCTTTTCTAGAAGGAAATACATAGAAGAAAATCTTTGTAACCTTGGGCTAGACAAAGCTTTCTTAAGCTACACTGCCAAAAGCACAATCTATAAAAGAAAAAATTGAAGAACTGGGCTGCAAGGCGCCTGGGTGGTTCAGTCAGTTAAGTGTCCAACTTTTGATCTCAGCGCAGGTCTTGACCTCAAGGTTGTGAGTTCAAGCCCCCCAAGTGGGCTCCACACTGGGCACACAGCCTACACTTATTAAAACAAACAAACAAACAAACAAACAAACAAAAAAACCTGGGCTGGGAGAAAGTATTCACAACTCTCATATCTCATAAAGGATTTGTATTTCTAAAATGTACAATAAACTTTCTAAACACAGTAATAAGAAAACCCAATTTTTCAAGTGGGCAAAGATTTAACAGACTTCACCAAAGATGACACATAGATGGCAAGTAAACACTCAACATCATTACTAGGGAAATACAAACTAAAACCACAAGATAATACCACTACACATCTATTAAAATAGCTTTTTTTTTTAAGTTTATTTATTTATTTTGAGAGAAAGAGAGAACACAAGCTGGGGAGGGACAGAGAGGAGAGACAGAATCCCACGCAGGCTCCGCGCCATCAGTGCAGAGCCTGACATGGGGCTCAGACTCACAAACTGTGAGATCATAACCTGAGCTGAGATCAAGAGTAAGATACTTAAGCAACTGCACCATGCAGTTGCCCCTCTATTAAAACAGCTTAAAACAACAACAACAAAAAAAACAAAACAACTAACAAGTGCTGCAGAAATTGCATGGAAACTCTCATAGCTTGTTGGTGGGGTGTAAAATGGTACAGACACTTCAGAAAACAGTTTGGCAGGTTCTTATAAAATTAAACACACATTGAACAAACAATCCATCAATTCCGTCCCCGGGTATTTGTCCACATAGAAGGAAAACCTGTGTTCACAGAAAATCCTGTCTTGTGAATGTATGGAAACCAATCAAATGTCCCTCAACTGAGAAATAGATTAAAATACTATGATCCACCCATTCAATGAACCATTCTTCACCAATAAAAAGTATCTACTCATATAAGCAGTAACATTTCGAACGCATTACGCTAAGTGAAAGAAGCCATACTCAAAAGTCACTGTATAATTCCATTTATATGGCATTCTGGAATAAGCAAAACCAGAGAAAAGAAAACTGATCAGCGGTTGCCAGGAGCTATGTACTGATTGCACTGGTGACTACGCTATATTTTGTTAAAATTCGAAGAACTGTACACTAAAATGAATTACCCTGTATCTTAATCATACTTTTTTTTAATAAAAAAGGAAAAAGCCAATATTTCTACATCTCCCCCCTTAAAAATACTTTTTTAAGCATTAAGAAAGTTTAAATCCTATTGTGTAAACACATGGTGATGGTTACAGGAATCTATACATGTTTTAAAATTTATAGAACTAAACACCAAAATAGAAGTCAACATTACTGTACGACTTATTAAATAAAAATAAACTAAAAAATATGCATAGACAGCTCTAGAATACATAAGAAGCTGACACTAGCGGTGAACTCTGAGAAAACTGGGTGCTTAAGAGACAAGAGATGAGAAGGAGGCTCTTTTGTTGTTTTAAATGTTTATTTTTGAGAGAGAGAGAGAGAAAGAGCACAAATAAAGAGGGGCAGAGAGAGAAGGAGACACGGAATCTGAAGCAGGCTCCAGGCTCTGAGCTGTCAGCAGAGAGCCCCATGTGTGGGGCTCGAACTCAGGAACCATGAGATCATGACCTGAGCTGAAGTCAGACACTCGACCACTGAGCCACCCAAGTGCCCCTGGTAGGCTCTGTTTTTAACTGCGTGTTTTTTCCTTTTGAATTTTATACTTAAATTCCCTAATACTCAAATACTCTAATAGAAATCATAAATATTTTGTATTTAATAGAAATCACAACCATTTTGTATTTATCTTTGAATGCTTAATCAATGCCATTCAAAATAAATTTCTGATGAATTTATTTTAAAATGTTTAACACATTTTAAAGTGGTGTTGATTCAAAAATATTAACTTTAATTTTAAATGTTTAAGCATAAACATAAAATGAAATCATGATTTCCAACTGAATATTTGAAACTTTTTTTAAAAAGCTTATACATCAGGGGCACTTGGGTGACTCAAGTCAGTTAAGCATCTGACTCTTGGTCTCAGCTCAGGTCATAATCTCACAGTTCGTGGGTTTGAGCCCCAAGTCAGGCTCTGCACTGACAGAGCCTGGGATTCTCTCTCTCTCTGCCCCTCTCTCCCTCCCTCCCCCCAAATAAATAAATAAGCTTGAAAAAGAAAAAAAAAAAGCTTATACATCAGACATAACAGGCTATAAGCTCAGCTCCTTTTTTTTTGCCAGTCTTCTCAGTTATTGACACCAGAGTTGCTCTTCTGCTGCTGAGAGGTTGACTA